CATGGTTTAATTTCAGTTAGAAGTTTGTCACCTGGGAAACTGCGTGTAGTTTCAGCTTTGACTTTATGTCCTTCTGTACTCCTTGTAGCAGCCGCTTCAGCAGCAGACTGAAAATCAGGTCCATAGTCCCACTTGTTGCCACTCCCACAAATGAATTTGTTTGGGCCCTGGGCACCGCATTCATTGCCTTTAGCTGTGACGGCCCCAATAACACTTTGAACTTCTTCTTTTTCGGGGCTGACAACCACCTGAGTATCAGACTTGGATGGATGGTCCATGATGCGGATACCACCAGGAAAGCTCTGAACGACAGCTGGTATTGACGGATCTTTGGAGCCTGATTCTCCAGGCTGTGAATCCGTCGCATTTTGATGAAGAGGCAGTTTTCTTCTTTTGAGAATCAGGGGTCTCGTCGGGCTCCGTCTCATGGTCAGATCATTGAAATGTGCCAAGTTGTTCAGAGGTATTCTGCACAAAAAATACAAACGAGCCTGAACAACGAAGATTAACTGTTACAACAAGAGTTAACAGAAACTGTAACGTTTCGCTGGGAGATGGAAATTATCAAGTCAGTTACTGTTGTTAGCCATCAAGTCCGTTCACAGCAATTCAGTCTCGATCAACTCGGAAAACTCCCCGATTTAGCTCAAATACTGATCATAATAAAATACTAAGCATTTAACGCACCTTCTTTTTATATCGTCAACTCCTCACTTTAGCGGCTAATTTTCTTCGGTTGGCGACGATTTCCAGGTTGTGGAACAAAAGACGTTAGTCAATGTTTTTAACTGTATGAAACGTTCCCAGGATATTCGTAATAGCTACGGCAATCGAGAAACTTATGGCTGGATAACCATTTTGACAATTAATGAAACATTACCATATAACTTACATTGAAGTTAAGTATTTTTTCCGATGTAACAAGTCAAAATGTATTCTAGTGAAAACTTCAATAGACTCAAATTACAACTTTAGACATAATTTGCGGTAAAACATACAGCATGGTACATTCACTCCAGACATTCTGCGCTATCCTGGGAACCACAGAACCATCCCGACAAACAAATAAATGTAATTAAAATATAGTGATGAGGATTTCTTCATGTTGAGTGTAAGCAAGTCTCCTGATTATCTAATAAACAACAGCGCCCTCTGCTGTTCCTAAGGAAAAATGACAGTTTCAAGTGTAACGTCATTGCTGGTTCAGCTGGGGGCAAGGTTGCATCATTAACCACAAGCTGAAATCAGTGCACAGCACTAAAGCATGACAGGTTAAATCCAAAACTGAAGCTTGGTGCCGCTCCTGCTTCTTTAAAACTCATTTTTAAACCTCTGATGAGTCGAACCACTGAGATCACGTGATCCAGCTTTGCTCGGGGTCGAGGAGCTGAGGGGTCAGGGTATGGGAAAAAGGAAGTGGGGATCTTTTTGGACACCAAATATCCAACTGTAGTCCTTACACTAGAGACGGCTTTTGATCTGACCACAGGCTTGGACAGTGTTGACACAACCAAACTAGACCCCGCAGTTGGGGGCAGGAAACTGCGTCCCCTCTCCACTTTCTCATGATTGAACACTGATGTTGCAAAAGCACATGAAGTCTTCAATCAGGGTAAATAACTGCACTCGGATGCCTTCTCTTGAAGCCACGACAAAGAGAGAAACTTGTCAAGACTCTCAAGTACACACACGCACACATCCTTTGGGGATAAAAGAAAAGTGTCAGCATCACAGCACAGTCTTACCCTTAAAGGAGGGAAGCAGTCGGGCCATTCCTGGGCCAGAGTAGGAGAGAAGACAGATAGCATCTTGGGAATCTGTATACAGTGATG